AATGCAGTCATCCCGAGCTCTTCCCTCCGCTACTGGAAGTACCTGAAACCAAAACTGAAAACCGTAAGCACGAAGCTTTGTGAGTTCCCCATACTACCACATACCATACACATAAGCACATATACTAGGCCCCCGCCCCTACATCAGGCCCCTCCCGACATCGGACTCTATCCGGCATCGGGCCCCGCCCGACATCAGGCCCCGCCTGGCATCGAGTCCCGCTCGGTATACAGATCTGTTTCTCTTAGGTCTCGCCTGTCTCTGGGCCTCGCCCGCTATACACACACAATCACATAAACATACTAGCACATAAAGCAAACATACTCTAAATGTATTTCCTGTTCTAAGGCCTCGCCTAACTTAGGCCCCGCCCCTGTCCTGCTACTGATGAGTCATGGAACCCCATCCATACTCCTGCTGATAGTGAGATACGGGCCCCCTCCCACACTCACTTCTCTCCTATCACGGGCCCCGCCTCTACTCTGCTAATAATGATATATGGAACCCCATCACAAAAGCCCAAACCCCAAAACCCATTCCAAGGCAAAAAGATCTGAAATCCCACTGATGTCCCGAACGCACAGCGTTCCCTAGTGGAGCGTTGGGCGTTCGCCATCGACTCGGGTCGCGAACTCAACTCGGAATGCAGGGCGTTCCTCAACCCTACGCGGTGTGTTCGCATGCTGACTCCAAAAAGGCTTATTAAGCACGTAATGCTTAAAGTCATGCTATCCAAACGTATATCCAACCCATCTAGGACCTCTAGAATCATAAAGTCACGGACTTGGTGACTTTGCATGGTCCAAAAAGGACCCAAACATCCATTAAAGCTTCTAATCCATAAACCAAGACCCAAAACCTTTGCATGGTTGGTCCTTAGCCATCAAGTTACCATTTTTATGACTCTAACAACTCAGAAACGTGAGGATCTTCAATCCTAGGCTCTTGGAGTAGCTCAAACTCCCAAAGAGCATCCATATGATCATAAGAAGCACAAAACAACCCCTAATCTAGATCTTAAGCCATAAGGTGGCAAGTTAGAAAGTTTATACCTTCTGATACTTGCAAATGGGTTGGAGAACCTGGATCCAAAAGCTCTTCCTTGATCAATGAGACTCCAAGGTGGTCACTCTTCTTCAAGAACTCCAAAATACACTCAAATATGGTCTTAAAAGCTCACACACTCACAATTAGGGTTAGGGTTTCGAATAGAGGCTTAAGGTACAGTGGAGGCTGAGAGAATAAAGGTTGGAGGTGAGTTAAGGTGTTTAAATAGTTCTCAAGACCCGAAATTTAGGGTTTAGTCTGCCCAGACGAATGCAGAGCGTTCCCTTGGGGAACGCAGGGCGTTCCCATATGCACCCATGTCTATTTTCCTTTTGAACGCCATGCGTTCCTACTTGGTACGTCATGCGTACCCGGTTTTGGCCCAAAACTCTTCTAAATTCAAATGGCCATAACTTCTTCGTTATAACTCCGATTTTGACGTTCTTTATATCCACGAAAATCTAACGAGAATCCCTACGCTTCTATCAACTTTATTTATCTTGAAATCCAGCCGAACTTAGATCCAAAATCCATAAATGGCCCGAACCAACGCCTTTACCGATACCCTTGGGCTCCAAAACACAAACCAAATAATTGGATCATCCAAACTACATCATCCACCTCCAAATGGGCCCAAACTCAACTCTTCAATGGTTCTAATTCATCTAATACCCACTCCTTGATCACCATCCCAAATTGGGAATGATTCGAAACGGGGCGTTACAGTTATCTTCTAAATTAGTTAGGAGAATGTAGAATTTAATGGCATAATCAATGGTTTCCAAAACTGACAATATTTAACAATCTTACCATAATCACCCACTATAATGTAATGGCATAATCAATGGTTTCCAAAACCGCCAGGGGCTCTGGCCCTTGGACCCTGCTAGGGGCGTTGCTCTTAGGGCCCTGCAAGGGGGCGCGACCTTCTTAACCCTCGCATTTCTGTCGTATCGGCTTATAATTCGATCTTATATATGCATGCACTCCACATTCATCAAACATATAATATATATAGTACAAATAATAAGTCTCTTAACTCACATGTCAGTTCCAATTACACAAAATGTCAGGTGACACTAAAATCACCAACAATAATATCAATACATTGACGACATCTAACAATTGCAACGGTTTTTATTAAGGGTGTCACAGATCCAAGGTGCGCATTCATATAATTTTGATTATATAACCTTTTTATTGGTCTAACACTAATGCTTGTACTATAGTTGAAAAAGTTTGTCTTTTCAATGTTTCTTTAGATTTTGAGATTGAATGTAGGTTAGCAACATCAGTGGACAAAAATGAAGAGATCCTTGAGCCATGTCAAGTTGTCAACCGATATAACATCCCAAAATTTGGATAAGCAATTACAAGCGATTAATGATATTAGTAGATGTTTCAATGTTTTATGATGATATGATAAATGCATTGGAGTGTTGTACATAGACTTTGCGGATTTGTAAAATTGTGTATCATATATGAAATTACAAAATACGTAGAGAAAATATCCGGGTTTTAATGTTTATGCTAAGTATATATTAATGGTAGTTGGGCCTTTATTAAATATCAATGGTAAAAGCAATTGTTATTTTGGTCTTTAGACAATAAAAGGGAAAAATGAAGAAATAAGGGAAACATGAAGTAAAGATGAAGTTGGAAGAAATAAGGTAATTTCTATTACTTATATTATGGTTGAGCTTTTAAGATGAATTTATCAAGTCAAAATCAATTTGGTTATAAATTGGAATCTCATCATTAAATTTTCAATATTTCACTACTTCTAAAATTATTGTTGACTACACAATTTTATTTTTTTAACATAGTGGCTGTTAAAACATAGATCGACTATATTCATATTAGTCATGATGATGCATATTATGTCTTAAAGAGTTAGCTAACCTACAACAACAAACTCTAGTCATCTACCATTCCTTGTTTCTTCTTATTGGTTTAAGATTAGGAATCTAGCATTATACAAATAGTATATTTAAATCAAGATTATA